CTACATTATAATTATAAATATTCAAGGCTGGGATTTGTTTTCCTTTAGGAAATGGTGTGGTGATTCATCTTCCTGGATTGTTTGAAGAAGCAGAGAAAAACGTTAAAAAAGGAAAAGGTATGAAAAATGAGTCTGCCTGGTAACCAGTTACTTTGTAAAGTCTTTTTAGGGTCTTATGCGAGACAAACAACATTTTTGTCTTGTACTTTAAAATTTCAAGTTATTATAGGACACATTTTTTAATGTCAATTATTAAATTTTGTTCATTATAATCAGTATTTTAAACAAAGGACAAACATAATGTCATTGTGTAACTCCTGGTTTTTTTACACATTAGTCATCTGCAGACTTTATCTTGAGGTAGCTAGAATTGCTATATGTTGGTGGCGAAACTCTAGGGAATTCATGAGTTGCACACTGTCGGTCTTATTTCCTAGAGATATGGAGCTCTCCCTTGGTTGCTACAACCCAGGATTAGAAGGGGGTTGTTTAGGTCCCTCCCTCCAAATGAGGGAAATGCTTCTTTTATGCACTATATATTTAATTACCATCACCTTAAAAGAAATAGCTTTAGATTCCTGCCTTTACTGATTGCTTGGATTTTTAGAGGTGTCTTTAAATCCAACTTGGCTACCTCATTAGGGCATGAGGGGAAGTTGACAATACAAATAACACACAGTTGAGGAGAATCATTAGTATAACTTCCCTTTAGATTCGCTGAAAATTTATAAACTCAATTATAGTACAGTTGTTAAAGTTTGTTTGGTTGTTCACATTTAGAAGAGGCAATCTGTCTTCAAGTGTTCCTGACAGCTAAATCTTGCTTTACAGAACCCTGTCTTGCAGGACCTTATCTGTCACCCTCCTTGCATTTTTATCTGTGTCCTGGTCTCTGCTTTTTAAAGTGGGCGGCTCGAGGTTCCCGTGCTGCTCACTGCTCTCCATCCCCTTGAATAATTTTGCTCTTCTCCCTTTTTCCTTCTGGCCCATCTGACCCTGCTGAATCCACTTTACTGAGTTTCTTTGTAATATTTTCTTTATAATATTCCCTAAACTAACTTTAGAATACATATTTACATGTCAAAAACAGCTATAGAAGAGGAGGCTTCATATTCCAGTTTTATACTTGTTATGTTGTCTTTTGGACATTACCGAGAGGGTTCTCCTTAATCTACAAGGAATAAATTTTCAAAACAAATCTTTGGATATTATCCAAAGATGAGTTTTGAATATGTTTAGAGCTTGGTGTTTTATCCTTAGAACACATATTGCCTACTAAGATACGTCTTTAAAGAAGAACATCTATTCGAATCCATTTATTCATTGAACAGTCACCTTTTTACAGATTTATTGGATGCTAGGCCCCATGCTATGAAAACTCACAGCCCCTGCTCTCAGGCATTCACAGTTACACAGTACATTCAGGAAATGCACATATCTTGTTATAATTCTGTGTAATAAGTGCAGTAGCTGATAGTAGCTTGGAGGAATTTGTGAGAAAATTTTATTATTTTGCTTAATTACACTTTTATAATTGTGTTTTGGAGGAAAAAGTATC